CGTAAAAAAATGAAAATAACGCATTTTAATATTTGAAAGTACAGTATATAGCATATTATAGACTCTTTTGATGACTAAACTGCGTTATAAAAATGGTATGAGTTCTACTGTCATTTAGTTTTTGTTTAAAATAAATTTTTAAAGTAAACAATAAAATTCTATATTAGTTGATAATAAAATAAATAAATAAGTGTTTCGTAAAAGAAATAAATCGACAGGAGAAATCATCATTTATTATTAAAAAGTATAAAAGATGTTCAACTTTTTTAACCTTGAAGGATAATTTGATATTTATAAGCAAAAATAAGTTATTTATACAAGACAGAAAAGCTTTACGAGTAATAAATGATGTGCTAAAATATTGTACCAAGCCTATAACTTTATTCAGTAAAATATTTATTAAAAATAATACGAATTTTAAAATAGACAAAATAGAAAATGATTTCCATTCATTTGTTTTGAAATTTAACTTTTAAGTCGTCATTAAATCAACTTCTTTATTACTTGATACTTACTTGTTCAGTAAAATGAAAACTGACTCCACTCAACCAATGTTATAATCAATTAACTATTTTACTTTTATGATTTTAAATTATTTCTTTGCCGTTTGTACGTATTTATACAATATTTTTATTAGCATATACAAAATTAATATAAAAATTATAAATATATTTCTTATCTTAAATAATTGAATGTAGTTAAATTATTTGTCTATTGGTTTTTTTAAGACTATCGATAACGTAATATAGACAAACAATAGGCTATAGAAAAATGGAAAATGTACTAACTATATACGTGTTCATATTTGCTTGAATATGATCGGGATTTTCGAAATAGATATGTATTGAATTATGAACGGTTATCATGAGACAAGCTTAATTTACTAAAAGGTAGTGGTCAACATACATTTTAAGTGCTTAAAGTACTTGATAGAATTGACGAGAAAACGTTTTTAAAATGTATTAAATTTATTAACGTATACCACTATGATGATTGTTGAGTAACGTTGAACTATTAAATTTAATAGTATTAACAATTCTATTATAAAATAAATATTAAAACATTTAGGTTATAATTGGGAATTCTCATTTGAACAATAAATGATTATCAAATGATCTGCTAATCTGCGAAGATTAAATAGAAAAATTATTCTCTAAATTAAAATAAAAATTATTTTTAAGAGAATACGTTCGGATTGTTTTTTTTATACATTCTTTGGTTACTTTTTTTGGCTGTATGTTGATTTGCAATCTGTGCTGGAATTTCAAATCGATCAATCAAAAACTGACCAAATCAACCTAAAAAAAAATAAAATAAAAAATACTTCATCATAGAACTGAAACTTTTCAAGCTAACCGATTCGATTGGAGGTAGCGTTACACTCAGTTAACTGGAACACAAAGAGTCAAGTATATAAGGTGTTATGTTATTATGTACACAACACTTTGTATAAATGGTTGTCAATATGTTTTATATTTTTTCCTTTAAAAAGTGTATTTACTAACGGAAATCAGTGCTATTATAATATTCTGTTCTCCGATTAGAACCAATCATATCGCTTATCAAAATATAATAATTTGTATGAATTGTAATTTTTCTTTTTAAGTACCTAGTGGTGAACCCGAGTAAAACACAATTCATATTCATGGCAGAGGTGTGGGCCTGTAGAGGAATATTATATTGTTCTGTATGGCCTCTCGTCCAGACTGCATCTGATAAACTGTATAGATAAACCGTATATTATAAGCTTTCGGCCGCGAGCAGCAGTGCTTTGAAGCCCAACGCCGTATGAAAATAATGTTGAACCTATAAAATATTATAATATATAAACATATCCGGTGAAATCAATGTTTCTGGTGTTCCGAAATGTTTTCTTTCGTCTACTCTTTCAGATGATGGTAGCTAACGTTTTAACTTACGATTACACTCTCACGCCCACTCACACGCATACAGATTCCGATCATGACGTCGACGTTGCGTTACTATACAACTAAACCTGGGCCGTAATAATGACGAAGGGTCTGAGGAAGCCCTACAGCTCTCTTAAAGTTTCAGGAAATCTGATCTTGTATTGTATAAATTATACGCGTGTATCTTTAGATACAAGTTTTAAATAATAAACTATCTATATAGTACCTACTTAATTTTATTTAAAAAATCTGAGTACACAGTTAAACGTTGAATTCGTCATTATGCAAACGCAGCTTGCCGGCACGAATCTTCATATTAACAAAACACCCATCTAACTATACAAGGATGGACAGTGTTTCGAAATAATACATGTCTCACATAGTTTGAGTTTTAAAAAAATAAAAAATACACTTTCTTATATCACTTTATTTTATTCGAATCGTTTTTATTCTAGGTGTTCTGCGCCGTCTAGCACGACTATAGATATTTTCTAAACATCTGTAAACTAGATTTGCTCATTTGTTGAAATTTAATGTGATGTATCTTGAGACAGCCTACAACAGTAAATTTTGTTTATATAATTGTCAACATACGGTAGATACTCGCATTATAAAAGACCTAACACACTTTATTTTAGTGGTTTGGTACCTCCATCGCGCCTGTACATAATTGCTGTTGTTGCTCAAAACGCTACCCTAAAAATCTTTGTAGAGTTCACGGCTGCCTGCTCTGCCGCCCCGCACCGGCTACTGCCAATGCTGCTGCTGCTATACTGCTACTACTACTACTACTGCTATTGCTACTAACTTACTACTACTACTACTCCAGTACTATGGTCACTATTGTAATGCCACACGACGACGACACGACGACGATGATGACGACGACCCGGCGAGTTTCAGCTTGACAAGGCAGTCGTTGAGATCTCGGGTGAGTGGTGAGCCGGTAATGTGCGAAGCTCGCCGGTTATCAGGGCGGCGGCGGCGGCGGCGGCGGCGGCGGTATGGTTGTCTCGGACCCAGCCGAGTTGGAATGGTCGGAGCGCAAGCGTCAATCCGCCGCCTCCGGTCCTGCGCCGGCAAATCCTGCCGTACGACAACTGCGAGTCGCGCGCGGTAGTCAGTGCTGCGCACTCTTTGCCAAGCGCACGCCGCGTACCGACGCACGCCGCCGCGCCGGCCTGCTGGCCGCGCGCGTTTTCGCACACGCCGTTTTGTCCCGCAGTTCCAGCTCAACTCGTTACCAGTCGCGGATGCGACGGACCGTATCCGGGATCGCGAGTTCGTAGGGTCGCGGCACGTCCGACGCCTTTTGTCCGTCGTCACACGACGACCGCAACAGTAATATAACATTGCCGCGCGTGATGTGCTGCCGGCGCGACTTTTGAGAAACCGCTCGTACAGCCGCGATTCGATACCACCGTTGTTGGCGGTATCGGATATAACGCCGACGGCGGTAGTCGCGAAAAAAAGACGCGAACAGTGCGCAAATCGGAAACATCGTTACGCCCGCCGACCGTCCGGAAACGACGCCGCTTCGCGGCCCCGAAAATCGCCGCCGCCCATGGCGTACCGGAGCGGCCACCGCGACGTTTCGCCGGCGACGACGTTGACCAGCGCGATGACGCCGCACCCGGTCGTGCCCATATGTTACGACGGTGGCCGTCCCGGACCAGACTTCCGCTCGTCGTTCCGTCGTCATCACGTGAGTACCTCCTCCTACTACTACTACTACTACTCGAGACTCGTCAGCAGCCGCGATACCGATTACACGCCGGCCACCGATATGTGTACACAGTACTTGCAGAAGAGCGACAGTGGCGGTTCGCGCCATAGACGACTGACTAACCTATGCACGGAGGGGGGGGGAGAAGACCAATTTTCACCTCTTAAACTTATATAAGTGATAAGTATATAATTAATTATACATATACATTATATATAGTTATTACTTATATTCAAAGTTTAGACAAGTTTTCCTTGTCCCGAGACAATAAAGTCCCATACGTACCGCGCTATAAATAACGGTCTTCGTTTGTCGTAAGCTACAGTAATTTGTGTTCGTAGAAGTAAAAGCAGTAGTAGAATATTGCTTAAAATATATTATATCGTGAACGTCTTGTCTGTAATCTGTATAATATGACCGTATATAGTATTGCAAACTATATTAAATCGTTTTTTTTTTTTTTGAAAAGTCGATTAATAATAATCTCTCACCCTGCCCCTTAACCACGGGTCCGCTGCGGTATATTTGCACACATGTGACACGCCGCTGCGATGAGCGGACCGACCAGGAGCCGTCGCCGTCTTACTCGAAATCGAGCGATTCCGTCTCGTCGCCGTACGACGTCATCTCGTCTGTCTAAGTACGCGTTCACAAAAAAAGTTACCGATTTATGCACTATCACGCGCGCGCGTATAAAAACCACGGTTTTGAGTTGCATGCGTATTACGCCATATTATAGTGAGCCTTGTGCAGTTGTGCGCAATGCATGATATTTATAACTTAACAATTTATGCGATACGACCCATATATTTTTAATTTAATTTTTTTTTTTTTTTTGTCCTAATTCGTTTTATCGACAACACACGACGACATGGTTATAGTACAAAACAGGTGCGTTGGCGAAATTAAATCACACAAACACGCACCCCTTATCGGTGTACAAAATAATAATAATAAAGAGCATTATTACGATTAGATACCTACAGGCTACAACTTATTTCCGACGGAACGAATATTATATACGTAGTAAAATCGCTCGAGTGTTTTATTGACGAAAGTTCCGCCGATACGACACCACTCGTTTACGTACCACTTTACCGGTTTTCCGCGTTTTAGTAAAGGCGTGCAAATAATACACGGTTCAACATTGTAATGCGTACCTTCTTCCTACCGGACATATTATTATCTATTGAGTATGCTATGATAATTATTACATCACTTTATATGCATACAGTAACCCGTGAAAATACTGATGTCCAAAATCATGTACCTAATAATTAATAACTTTATAAACAGATAATCAATAATATTACTACTGCAATATCATACTGTATTTGACCGTTGTTTTTTCTTTTCGTTTGCAGATGACTATGGCGTCGTCAGAGGTATAACAAGGAGTATGGGAAGAGAGGCATGGGCCTACGGCTGGACCAGAGACTATTTAGCAAAGTCACGGTAGTCTTCGCAGCTCTCGTTCTCTCGCTGTTCAACAGGGTCCTAGTCTCAAGTGAGTGGCCGTACTGCATTAAGGGAATTCGATATTTTTTCCCTGAAAGTTTAAACACCACAACATACATAATACAATATATTATATGTTATTAAACGACTTTATGTACACCGCGCGTCTTACATAAATACATCTCCTGCAACAGTTCTCGTCCTTTATGCGGAGCTCACGATGAATTAATAATGATTTGGTGGTATGTTCTATTACTATATAAATGATATCAAAGAAACTACTGGGAATAGAGTATATATATATATATATCTACAGCATACCGTCGTCAATTTCGGATACATAATCATATTAGAAACAATAATACATAATAGATGCTGCAGTTTCGGTTTACAGCGTTCGGTGTGCAGTAGATGATTTAGTAATACACCACGCGTCGGACTTTCGCTCGTTAAAACCTATTTTGATTAAACCAATGCAACTACATATAAATGTTTCGATTATATTGGACATTTAAAATATAAAATGTCTATGATTCGATTCATTACGTTTTGTTCGAACGCCTTTCACCGTTCAGGTTGGTCACCGAAAACTTAAATTATTACAATATTATTAACAGATTCCGTAAAATTCAATTTACAAAAAAAAAAAAAAATGTCACGGATATTTATTTATATGCAATATTATATTGCTATTTAAATAATATTTTTAATCAAGATTGGGTAAAAATAATTATGTATAAATTATATATATATAAAATATTTAAGATATATTATCAGAGCTTTAAAAAAAAAGAAAACTATTATAATAATATACTCGTCGTACTTAATATTATGTTCATATTTCAACTCAAAGTACCTAATATAAATAAGTCTTAAACAATACATTAAACTTCTTACACTATAATGTGTGCATGGAAAATATAACGTAGTTAGACCTTAATATGGCACGTGTTTCGTGCACATTATTTATGTTTTCACTAGTGTTACCCATACATTATTCTTCTCGCTAATAGATTGAAAAATAAAAATTCGATTGTACCTATATGGCTATATTATAAGACTCAGTTAAACCTAATTCATTCTAACTTTTTTTAATAACTTTTGATAATATCAGTCAGTAGGTACCTATTAATTTTAAATATCAGTTTATAACGAAATTATTTATTTACTATTATAAATAATCCATCAAATATATTTCAATTAAGAAAGCGCTATACAGTAGCTACATCAAGCTGTCTATCTAAAGACATTTCAGTACAACGACAGATTATTTTATTTTTAATTTTAAAATAATGATTCAATGATCGATGATTTTTAAGAAGCTTTTTTTTTTATCTAACTAACGTCAACCTTTATTTATTTATTTATTTATATCATCAATAATTTGGTTGTTTAAATTTTTTTTTAATTATATGAAATGAAAAATAGAAAAAAAATAAAATGATCTGACTAAACGTAAATATTGTCTGTTAATCAGTTATATTTACATTTATATTTCAAGCAACTGTAACAAGTGTTATGTATATAAACGCATATCAAAAGCTCACTTAGACTTAGGTAATACAAATTAAAATAGCAGCTTAATAATTTTTAATTTAGAAAATGCGAAACAAAGAATCAATTAAATAAACATAACTTTCATCAAAAAAAACCTAAATCCCATATAAAATACTAGATGTCTGTCAAATAAAAATAGTAAAAAAATAGAAAACCTTCGTGGCATGAGAAATATACTGGTGAAAACCACCGTTGTCTATATCAAAATTAAAAACACGTCACGATCAACCGACTGTGTGTTCAGAAGGTGACGATTAATTATTATTTGGTCGTGAATCAAAGGTCCTGAAGAAATGTAATTTTTTTTCGACCCCTCATAACATAATTCGTTTCCTACATAATATATGATTATTATTGTACCTACCTATACTAAATATGTCTTAAATTTATTTTCTAATTATATTTACTATGGATATTAAGGAAGCCAAAAATAGTTAGAATATACTAAAAACCATTTAAATTGTTAATTTCGTTTAATGTATATTTTTAGTGTAATAATTACTGTGGGTAAGTATTAAAGTGACATTTTTTTTTTTCATTTTCACTTCGATTTTTAAACATTATTAAATAAGTCATGAATAATTTATTTTTAATTCTGAACGAAATAATATAGTTATTGGTTGTAAAATTGAGTATTTTTTCTTCTATTATTCATGTTGTGTATATTAATTTTAAGTAAAACATCTGAATCGTTTTTGGATTCAATTATTTTCTATTTTTTTAAATCAATAGTCATAAACTGATGATATAAATTTTGGTTAATAGTTGGTCGGTAGAATCAGTATCTACTATATTATGTCTATAGTTATTATTTTTAATTAAAAACAGTTAGAATAATGTTATTAGTTTATTACTATTATATAAATCAATAATTCAATTAAGTATACTTGGATATTAAATAAATATTCGTTCTAAAATAAATAAAACTGATAGTCAATAAAATGAATTAATGACTTGCTTTAATATACGATCATAAAAATCGAAAACAAAATAATATTAAAGATTTTAATATTTTTATAAATAAAAAAAAAAAACATCTGTTATTTATACGTTTAGTACCTACCTATATTATATTTTAATATGAAAACTGTTATTACTTATTATTTTGCTTATATAAAAGGAAAAATTATTTTAATTAGTTCCATCGTGATCATCTATTTATATAAAATTCGACGTTAAGCAATATTATGTTAAAACATAAATTATCTAAACGCTTCAACAATATTTTACTCATAAGATATGACATCATTATTGCATACAAAAATGTCGGTCGTTATAAATATATGTTTTAATAATATTATTCACTATATTTTACATCTTTTCTTGGACACTTTAGATCCAAGGATCCTCATTTTCCATTATTTTATCTCCATGGGTTGAAGGGGAAGATGAGTAGTTTTTTTATAAAACCTTTCGACGAACAATGAAAACTCCTTTTAACAAAAGCTGTTTCCCGTCAATGATATCATTCTCGTAAGATTTTTTTTTTGTTTTAAACCCGTTTTATTTTTCACGCCTGAAACCATTAGTAAATCTATATTCTTTTCCCGGAGGCTGGGTCAAAGGTTCGTCTTTTTAGATCATTTAGTCTCATCAAATTACTTAAAAAAATTGACAATTAGTACATAATATATGTAATACCTAAATTGGATATATTTACATAAAGTAATAGTTTTAAAATCAGTTTTTTATTAAAACTTTTATCAAACGTTATTAACTAGAATTATAAAAAAATATCATTTTTATTTTGCCATTTAAGTATATTAAGTATTAAATTAAATTAATTTCTAAACCAACATTTTTCTCATGGACCACGATTTCAATAAATTAATCGAAATATCAACCATTCAAAATTGTAATATAAAAAATATATACATCCACTTTGAGTACGGTTTTCATTTACGAAACACTGAGTATTGAATTACAAAAACAAATTTTAATTATACTAAATTAATTAAAATAAAATGTTCAAAGTTCAAATAATTACGTTTCAAGCGATCAAATTAAATGAAAAATAAACTTTTATTATCACGTAACAGTAGATAATAATAATTAATATTTCTTACCTTAGACTTTTAATTTTATAACAAAATAATCGTTTAAAAACTGAAATTTTATTTCAGTTTACTAAAAAAAAAAATTATATGATTTTCAAAATAATATTCATATTATATAACATTAAAATTTATAGTATTTCAAATTAAACTAAATAGTTAAGTAAAATCGGAATGAAAAAATTTAAAAACGACAATTTCAAAATTGACAATTTAAGACGTATAAAAACATATAAGATTTAGGATATTTTAAACATCCCACCTACTAAATAGGTAGTTGTTAAAAAATAAAACTGCGGTTTTATGAAATATTTCTAACAGTTATACATTTCCATTTACGTGTACCTATTCGATTGACAATATCATAGAATACTGTTTGGGATACAACTTAAAAATGAATAAAACTAAATTACAGTTATTAATCTATAATACTAATTACATATTATACTATCAAACTATATAGATCAGTATACGCAGTAATGTATTGTTAAATAAGCAATTACAAAATCAAGCAAATCACCCATTTGACTTTATATTAAAAATAAAATCAAAAAACAGACGTTTTAAACATATAATATTGATTTTAACTTTTTATATTTTATAGCAGTCATATTTTGTAGTCGAAACACAAACTTTGATTTTCGACGGTAGTTTCTTCAGTCGGTATTGATCCAACATTTGGCTGTTCCGTAGGCCGGGTGAATATTATAAGGCATAGTACTACACAACTGTGATTTCTAAATTCTATTATTACAATTACAGCAATAACACTTCAATAAAATTAATTGGACTTTTATAATTTCTATAATATTACGAAGCACGCATTCAAATTTAATAATTATTAGTACGTATTATTAAAACTACCTGAATCTGTTTTCTATTATCCAATCGTAAATTATTACACCTATACATAAACTTCAAAGAACTCAATAAAATATAGTTGGACTTATTGGTACAACATTTTAATTTTTTCGGCAAACACGCCGTTTTGCCATTTATATATTAAGACACTAAGTTCACCCACAGTGGTACTAAATCACAAATCATAAACTAAACGATTTTAATTTCCTCTAAGAACGATAATAAAAATATAAAACTATAAATAACTCAAAATTATCATCGAATCACCTTTAAAAAACATTTTATACGTTTAATAATCTAAAAAGGATTGCAAAAAATGAATGATCACAATTCGCTTCAAATCGTCTCTACACAATATTATAATAGTTCTGAGCGCTATTATAGTTTTCGTTTATATTTTTTATTCGAAGGAGCTCATCTTTAATCTTTTGGGTCATGAAAAGCTTAAAAGGTTTTTTACTCTGATGCACGCCGATAATTTGTTTCGTCTTTTGTGAAGAGCTTTTCTTTAATTTTTTTTCGAATAATATTTAGATCGTAAAATGTTACTTCATCTTTTTGTTTGTACTGCAAATATATATTTATTTGTCTTTTAAAATATTAATAGTATTTTCTAAAATTCAACAGTAAAAAAATAGTATAGACAATTTTTAGTATCCAATCATATTACATCTCAAAGATAATGGATTGTCGACGTCTCAAAAAGAAAAATAATATTAATATTTTAATACAATTAGCTTTTTGACAAAACCAAATACCTACAGCAAAATATAGGGACAAAAATAATTTCGTATAAATTAATCATGTATTTGTACTTACTGCTTATAGCTACCGGGTCGACGTTCAACGATGCTGTTCACATCACGGCCATCGTGGGCGAATCAGTTGTGTTCAACTGCCAAGTGGAGTTCCCAGCCGAACACCCCGTGCCTTACGTTTTACAGTGGGAGAAAAAAGTAAGCAAAAACATTTCTAATGATTATTTGGTAAATGATGACTGTACATCATACTATAGACAATCATAAATTAGTAGACGGTACACCGTTTATTTTATACTAAATAAAAATATATATTGTAATGTATACGTTTTTTAAAAGAAACTTTATGAATCTCCAATCGCATAATATAATGAGCAGTTAATATTTACACCAAAATATATTCATTTTGTTTTATTATGGTTTATTGTAGTTCGTTTGAATATTATACTATTTCACGCATAATGTAGAACGTATGACAGAAACATGATGGCCGTATATGTTTTAGGGTCTTGACATACCGATATTCATTTGGTATGACAACTATCCCACTCACAGCGGTTCGGGATATGAAGGCCGAGTGTCTAGAGTCTCCCAGGACTCTCCATACGGTCTCGCTTCGCTCAACTTGACCAATATACAAGAGTCGGACCAAGGTTGGTACGCCTGTAAAGTGGTGTTTCTCAACCGGTCACCAACTAATAAAAACGGCACGTGGTTTAATCTAGACGTCCACGGTAAGTAACAGCTGTTTATCTTCATTTTGATTAACAACTTATACTTCATATATAATATTAAAATATGTTAATGCAATAAAATGATAGGTTAATTAATCGATAATCTTTTGCATTCTGCTATTTAGCTCCTCCGAAATTTGTCACCACCCCCGGTGAAGTCCAATACATAAATGTCGGAGATTCGATTATTCTAAACTGTCAGGCTGAGGGGACACCTACACCCGAAATCGTATGGTTCAAAGACGCCACAGATGTACAGCCTACGACCACTGTGGGCATATTCAATGATGGCACTGAACTGAGGATATCTAACATCCGAACTGAGGACATCGGGGATTATACGTGCATCGCCAGAAATGGCGAAGGACAAATTAGCCATACGGCTAGGGTTTTGATAGCGGGGGGAGCTGTAATTATGTCGCCTCCAACTAACCAGACGAAATTGGAAGGCGAAAAAGTCGAATTCCTGTGTGGTGCGAAGGCCATGCCTGGTAATGTCACTGTCCGGTGGTCCCGCGACGGAGCTTTCGTGAAGTCGATTTCATCGCTGGAAACCAGAGTGACCATCAAAAAAGACGGTTCCATGGTTATAAATCCCGTCAGTGCTGACGATTCGGGTCAATATCTGTGCGAAGTCAGCAACGGCATTGGTGACCCTCAATCTGCATCAGCCTATTTGAATGTTGAATGTACGTATAAATCTTATTGTAAGACAAAAAATATCAACCATTAATATGTTTGTATTCTAAATAGATCCAGCTAAAGTTACATTCACACCGACCGTACAGTATTTACCGTTCAGATTAGCCGGCGTTGTTCAATGTTACATTAAAGCCAACCCACCTTTACAATACGTCACATGGACCAAAGACAAACGTCTTCTCGAGCCTTACCAACAAAAAGACGTCGTTATCATGAACAACGGTTCGCTGTTATTTACCAGGGTAAATAATTCAAAAAACAAAAATTCGTTACCAGATCGTAATAAACGAGTGCGTATTTTGATGGTTTTTTTTTTTTTTTTAATCGTTTAGGTCAATCAAAACCACCAGGGCAGATACACTTGTACACCCTACAACGCACAGGGTACTCAAGGATCATCCGGACAAATGGAAGTGTTGGTGAGGAAACCGCCAACTTTCACTGTTGAACCGGAGAACATGTACCAACGCAAAATCAGCGAATCGGTGGAAATGCATTGTGATGCACAAGAAGCTGAAGGCACTCAAAAACCGAAAATTCAGTGGCAAAGAGTAAGTTATTCGAAAACGATATCCAAACAACTGAACTGAATAATATTATTGTGCAATTGATAAAACAGAGAGATGGCGCCCCGTTGCCCAAAGGTCGTCATAGCATACACGGTGGTAATATCACAATAGAAAACCTCAGAAAAACAGATTTCGGATATTATCATTGTGTCGCGAGTAACGAAGTAGCCACAATAGTTACGACCACTCATTTGGTCGTCGAAGGCACTCAACCGCACGCCCCTTACAACGTCTCGGCAAATGCTTCCGAGACGACCGTTACACTACAGTGGCTACCTGGTTATAGCGGCGGTCCCGATTACAAACAGGACTACACAATTTGGTAAACTTCGAAACAGCCGCCGTCAGTTCGAAATGACATCACTATAACAGAGCGTAATGATTTTTCGTCTAGGTACAAAGAACCAGGGATGGCGGACTGGTCTACAATACCTGTTACTCCGTCGGGGAGCACCCAAGTCACCATAAACAGACTAACTCCGGACACGACGTACGAGTTTCAAGTAGTAGGCAAGAATGCGTTAGGCGATGGAATGCTTAGCAAAGTTATTTCGATCAGGACACTGGGTAAGTAAATGCAATGTGGATCAGACGTAGTTACAATAATAAAGTGTTTTACTTTTCTTTAATTTTATTTTATTTTATTTTATTTAAAAAAAAAGTATATTTGTTTTTAAGAAAAAAAAATAACGACTGACGGGGGTTGGCTACACAGTGTCAGTTGTATAAACGGGCCGCACTGTACATTTAGTCGCTTTAGACGCTTATTGGAATATGGAAAAATCAATGTAATTTTATAATAAATATTTATTAATATATAATAATTCATAAAGAATGTGGCCGTTAAAGTCACATTCGATAAACTGGGTATTTTGAATAATTTAAACACAACTGTGGTAGATCAAGGTCTAGATATCTTATTATCTTCTACTAAAGTTAAACGTTTTATCCTCCTTGGAGGATCAACGTGGCCTTGAACTTCCGCAGAATTTATGATTTAAACTACTTATGCACACGATTTGAAATAACTTACGTTTTATTGTAGATAACGTGTATTGTATTATATAATGATTTATGTCGGATGCTTACAAATCAAATTCAAAATTAAATGCCTGTGTAAAATGACCATTCGGTCAAATTTGAAACTATTTTAATATTAATATTAACTGCGTACATCGCTTTACGATTTATAATAATTTTACTTATTTCGTTGCTCAACCGGTCGCCGCATTCGCGACAGTGTGAAGCTTTTCGTTTCTTGTTGTAAGCGTCCGCAAAATTTTGTTCTATAAATGCCCTTGTTGTATATCATAAGTTTGGTCTGTTGTGCTTATTCTATTCTCTGTTGGGTGGCAGCAGCCGTACCATTAACCGTGGCCAAAAAAACAAGTCCCGCGCCACCGGTCACCGAGTTACCTCCTCCCCCGAGCGACGGTAAGCACAAACAATATAATGTACATATTTTTTCATTTAGTGTAATATACAAATAATTTATATCTAGATAATGCATGACAACTTACTTTTATGATATTTTCGTATTGTACATAGCACATTTATTTACCGCATGATAGCGTTGGTGTCACAACTATACGTTTCGTTAAAATATATTAATTTTTTTTTATCATTTTTAGAAAGTCCTTTATTGACATTATTTCAGGAATAACCATTATTTTACCCATACAATTTTAATTTCATTTTGTTTTGTTTTGCATGTGTTTATTTTTTATTTTATTTCATTCACCGTTTTGCAGACGTTGTCGACTATAGTGACCTCATTTTACCCACTGAATCCTCTGGTGCTACAATGTACCCACCAGTATTCAGACCAAAAGGTATAAAAATCATCAGCTTAATTATTATTATTGTTTCTCACCTTGCTCGTCATTTGTATAACTAAGTTTTTATCATCAACCATTTGTCGGTAGAGCAAAAAGCACATGCTTAATGCGACTGCGCCGATTGCCAGTTGTTATTATTGTTGTTGTTGTTATTATTGTTATCTTTAATTGATTTTGCTTTGGTATAGGGCCAAAACCCGGACCACCGAGAAACGTAACCATCGCCGAAGTCAAAAATGGCTTCGTCATATCTTGGCAAGCTCCGTTAGAAAGAGCTCATCTAGTCCGTTATTACGTCATCAACTATAAGACAGATGGGGTTTGGAGAACTTTGAACAAGGCACAAATCAGAGCAGAGGATACTCATTATTTGGGTACATAATATAGTATATAAATAAAAAACACGTTTTACATAAACATAAAACTACGAAACTTGTACGCAATGTAATATAAACGGAAAATATATCATTATTTTAAAGAGTGTCGCACAACACAATCGCTGATAAATTTAAAAGAAAACAACGTTATAAATCTATTAACTATCCCATCTTGTAATTTTTATGAGGGATTATCGCGTATTCAAAGTATAAATCTCCAGCTGACACAGATTATTATTAGTTTGTATTATTTTCCAAACTTAATCTATTATCTGTTAATCATAACATTCATAACTAAACCGTTTATATAAGTGTGCAATTGCACACCGGTAATATCATTGCAATTATAATACGTGTCTTTACATTCGTCCATTAGTATTTTATCAAAATTCGTTGAAACAAATAATAATAAAAAAAATATCCAACATCTATCGTAAACGAAACGAAATTCCCCGAGGAAATTCGCGGATATCATAACGATTGATTTCGTTTCTTTCTGTTTTTAGTGAAAAGTCTAGTGGGAGGTCGTACCTATTATTTCCGAGTGGTCGCGTACTCTTTGAAGAGTTTTGAAAACAGCGAAGAAATCAAATTCCCCGTACCCGCCAGGGTGAAACACAAGGCCATCACGGCGGGTGTCGTTGGCGGGCTGTTGTTCTTCGTCGTCGCCATAATATTGTCCGTGTGCGCAGTAAAGATCTGCAACAAGAGGAAACGGAGAAAACACGAAAAAGGTAAGCAAAAAACGAACGTTATGCATACCAATCATTTTATTGATCTTAACAATAAATAAACGACGTTCGCGTGGGTGGCGTCTATCCGTTTCGAACGTTTTTGACACAAAATATTTTGTTACTGACACGGACGTGTGGCGTTTTGTGTGATTTCAGCTTACAACATGGTCGCGTGTAGAATTACGGACGCCAGAAATGGCGGCCAAATACCGGGGACTAGTCAAGTGCCTTTAAAAAAGTGAGTTTCGTCGCATATACCAGCTATATTATTATTATTGTGTATATCTACTAAATAATTGTTTAGAAGAACTGATATTGTTACATATTCGGGGCGTGTTTATTGGAATATGTTTTTATAATATACTATGAGAAATATTGCGAAACGCATATAATATGATTTATATAACGCCTACATGGATACTATTTTTTGTCTATATATAGGCTCGCGGACACTCGTACTTACCGAGACTATAGACTCGAATTGTCCTAGCCGATAGCGAAATCCGTAAGCGAAGCATTTATAATATGTATAATATAACATTTATATAATATATATCAAACAAAAATAGTACCTATATAATATACCTGCAGGCTACAATACGCTTCACTCGCAACCGCTTGTGTTCGTTTGCGATTTTCGACAAATCATAATAATTTTATGATAATGATGATAATGATAATAATGCACCGAATGTGTCACCACAATTATAATATCATACAATGCGGGACGCGTGTGACGTATACATAATAATTATTATTAATATTATAGACGATTGCGAAAGCTATGAGCCGTTTATCGAAAAAATTCGATTCGGGAGGGAACTAATAAATAATAATAATGTATCATGCAACATATACCTAATATCACCGTAACACGTTTGAAAATAGTTTAAAATCAATAATATTTAATATTTCCACGGGGTACGGACATGTTTACAATATTATACAATTATTGGGTGTAATAATATTATATATTGCATGCGTCTCGACATGGAACAATAACAAATTTTATTCGTGCTAAAAACGGGAATAGCTTGCAAATCATGATTACACGCGCAAATAATCGAGACACGAAACAAACGATTTTTTTTTTCAAACACTTGTCAATAATATAATATTATTGTGTTTGCAATATTAACACACACCGAATACGTTTATTTATATATTTGTATTTTGTTTATGTGCTTTCGTTCAGGATAACAGGTGAAGAGCTAGCAAGCTGTTGAGCCGCACAAATTCAAAATAATATTGGTACATCACAGTATGCGTGTGTTTGTTTGCTTGCACTTTATTAATCAATAGCACTTAATATTATTATTTGGTTTTCATAAGTTTTAGATTATTTATATTTGTAGATTGTATGTATAGTGCTAATGCTGTAGGTACCTAGCCGTCTTGTATTGTTTAGAATAATATTTAAGGATGTAAGTTTAACCAATGCACTTTCTATCAGAATAAATGTATTAAAATTAATATCAAATTGAATATAGTATTTTGGTGTACAAACACGTCCTATTATACCATAAAGAGTATTTTTAATTTTTATTCCTACAAGTGTCGACAACCAGTACCTGAAAACATTTTTTATCTAAGCTAATATTCTAAAACAATTCGTATCATAATATAATACGAATACATACCTATAATTTATTATATACACGAACTCGTTGATAAACATTATTTAAGATGTTAAACGACATTTTTGAGGGTTGACACAAGGCTGTGCCATCGATTTATTTACAAGTTGTCGACCCATTAAATTAATTAAAATATAATATAATACTATATCATTAATCATTATAAACCGTGCGAATACTCAAAACTCGGTTAGTATTTGACATAGGAACGTCAAAATATTGTAGTTAGGACGTGTTCAAACTAACCTAACCATCTTAGACACAAAATGCATTAATTTTAATATCATGTTTGTGAAACTGTAATGGTTGCCCACATGTAACATCTGTTGTTCAAGTCTACCCAAAAAATTTGCTGATTCTCCGTTAGACATTGTCGGAAAAAAATAACAATAAAAGTACATAAATATTTATCAAAAAACAATTTTAAGTTTACGGCAATAGCCCTGTATCAATAAATATCGCCAAGTATTCAATAATGTGTATTTAGGTTGGTTGGATATTGTTTGAACTTTTTTTTTAAAAATTTTCCAGTAAAATATAAAACCTATATCCCTCAAACCTAAACAATAAATTCACATTGTAGGTTATACTTTAGTACGATATCTTTGGAAACGTGACTGTTGGCATGAACTTGAGAGGGTTTTTAGATAAACACGTCACGTATGTATTTTTAAGTCTAACTAATTAGTTTTTTTTTCAACAACGTACGTACAACTGTAAAATATCAACAAAGTTGTTGGGTATGTTCGAATGTGTGTAAAATCACGAACATAACTCGAATAAATTATAAAATATATATTTTATATTGAATTCGACTTGTCCAATATTTTAAGTCTAATAGTTTAGCAATAGATGTTTACCACTCACTATATTATGTTGTCTTACAAGACGCGCCTTGGTACCGCAACAGTGTATTCGAATTTGATTAAATTTGTTTCCTTATTAGTAACTACTAATTACTAATTGGATTGGAGTTTTATGATTTCACGTAGATGTGATCAATTTTATTTTTGTTTATTGTGTTTTCACCATTAATCTGCATTTACGTGTAGGTTAAACATCTGAGACGGTTTTCATCGTTTCTAATCCGTGAGCACCATAAAACAAGCATGATTTTTTGCATAACGATAACATTAATAGTATTACCAAGTACCAACACACATATTATGTTAACTACATAATATTATAACATACATATCTAATTGTAAATCGCTACAGACTTAGGAATGCATTTGAAGTGTACATATCATTATCACATTTACATTGGCTTCGTACTTCACGACTGTACTTTTACATGTATTGTTGTTGTTGTTGTTGTTGCAATAATATATATATATATATATATATTATTATATCACACAATTCATACACTTAAACAGCAGAACACTAAAACCCCGCATTTGTATTATCCTTCTAGATCTAGATCAACCCGAATATCAAGTCTGAGCAGCGGATGCAACGTCGTTCTTAACATGGTGGCGCGGCCGTCCCGCTCGAGTTCGTTCCTGGACCGCCGCGACCAAGACTGCGTGGACGGTCCGGCGGACGGCCAACGCCCACGCCGCCGCCTCGGCCGCATCTCCCGGTCGGCCGACGGCCGGTTCGTGTTGACCGGCGACTCCAGGTCGTCCAGCCGGCGGGGCAGCGGGTCTTCGTCCGGCAGCAGTGACGACGGCGGGTTCTTGTCCCATCCCAGTTTCTCCAACAGGACGTGGAGCCGTCAACCGTTGTTGACGGTCAGCGGCAGCAGCGGCGGCAGCGGAGGCGGCCCGAGGCGGACGGACAACGGCGCTGCCGCGGACGACCGCCGACGGCCGATCGTGGTCGTGTCCACGGTGTGCGACCCACGGACTCCATACGGCTTCGACCGCCGTCCGGCAGCGGCCGCGGGTCCCGCCGCCGTAGCCGCCGCTACCGCCGACGATCGGACGACGTTGCAGAGCGTGCACGAGCGGTACAGCCAACAGCTGCCGTCGCTTAGGGCGATACACGAGGAGAACCACCGGACGCTGATGCAACGTCTGCAGCCGGCCAGTCCCAGGTATCACCCGAACCCGGGCAGGTACGCCTGCCGGCACATCGAGAGCGTATGTGACGAATCGCAAGAACCCACCGTCGCTACACGACTAGCCGCCCACCTATCCACACCAACCCCCACCTCCCTCGGAACGATTTTCGCGCGCAGTTAAACAAAAGAAAAAGCTCAAAGACAAAATTATTTCGCGCGCGATGATCACAGAACAATGATTTGACAAATATATAACAGATGATGTATAGATTTCTAACGTTACCGTAATTATTTGTTAAAAATAATAATAATAATAAAATCTTAACGCAGCGTCGATCAGCAGTCGGTATGATCTGCGGTATATTAT